AAAAAAAAAAAGCTTCAGCAGCCGGTAGTGGGCCAGAGGCGTGCAAGCAGGTCCCCAGGAGTTTGAAGCGAGCCTGGTTCTGAGTTCCAGGCCGGGCAGGGCAACAGAGGAACCGAAGAAGAAGACAAGAGTCCTCCAGCCAGGAGTCACATCTTGGTCCTGCTGCGGTTAGGAGACATCTCTGCGCTGCACATCTCTGGTATGTCGTCACCTTGTTCCTTAATTACCCCGTCAAGACCTTAGTGGTAGCAGACGATAATTTCACCCACTCCCTGAAGCCGAGGCGGGAGGATTGAGCCTGAATCATTCCGTGTTAATCTAGATGCCCACTGGAGACTTGCCTATCAAGGCAGGCGTAATTCTCCGGAATGCTAGGATTAAATGCTGAGTCATTGAACCTATATACTGAGGAATGACTTGAACTTCTGATCCCCGGAGTGGTGGCACACACCTTTCATTCCAGCACTCCGGAGGCAGAAGCAGGCTGATCTCTGAGTTTGAGGCCAGCCTGATGTACAAAGTGAATTCCAAGTTATCCAGGGCTATTACACAAAGAAACCCTGTCTCAAAGAACCAATCAGTCCATCCATCCATCCATCAATATTTATTTAATTGAGAGCTTGGTGATACAGCTCAACACTAAAAAGGCTCAGTTAGCAGGGCTGTTAGCAGAGAAACCCTGTGGCAAAGAATCAGTAAGTAAGTAAATAAATGAATGGGAAAAAAAATATTTAATTGGGAGTTTGCAGATGCAGCTCACTAGTAAAAATGCCCTGACATGTATGACACTCAGGTTCAGTTCTCAGAACCACAAAAATAATATAAACATGCCTGCTCAGATATTTTAATAAAAATTCAGTTTGGCTGTTAGTGCCTGCCTGCCTTCCTAGCCCTTGAAGGTAGGAGGCTTGCCATCTCATGTATAATATGGTAAATAAAGCAATTAACAGTTTGGATCAAAATATGCCCTTTAATTCCGCAGGCAGTTGGATAGCTGAGTTTCAGGGCCCCGAGGCTACATAGTAAAAACCCGTATCTTTGCCTGGCGGTGGTGGTGCACGCCTTTAATCCCAGCACTCGGGAGGCAGAACCAGGAGGATCTCTGTGAGTTCGAGGCCAGCCTGGGCTACCAAGTGAGTCCCAGGAAAGGCGCAAAGCTACACAGAGAAACCCTGTCTCGGAAAAAAAAAAAAAACAAAAAAAAAAACCTATCTTTAAAAAAAAAAAGTTGCTGGCCAGGCTTGGTGATGCACACCTTTGATCTCAGTACTCAGGCAGAGAGTCAGGTGGATCTCTGTGGATTGGAGGCCAGCCTGGTCTACAGAGTGAATTTTTTTTAAAAAGACATCCATTTTATGTGTGCATGTTTTGCCTGCATGTTTTTATGGGCACCATATGAGTGTTTGGTGCTCTGAAGTGGGCTCTTCTGGAACTGGAGTAACGGATGGTTGTGAGCTATCAGGTGGGGACTGAGAAACTGGACCCAGGTCCTTTGCAAGAACATGTTCTCAGGGCTGGAGAGATGGCTTAGAGGTTAAGAGCACTGACTGTTCTTCCAGAGGTCCTGAGTTCAATTCCCAGCAACCACATGGTGGCTCAAAACCATCTGTAATGAGATCTGGTGCCCTCTTCTGTGTACATAATAAATAAATAAATCTTTAAAAAAAAAAGAGCATGTCCTCTTAACCACTGAGCCAGGCGTCCAGCCCACACGGTGAGTTGAGGGCAGCCAAGGCTACAAACAGGGGAACCTTGTCTCAAACAGAAACAAAACTTCGGATGTTACCTTAGCTATCCAACTGCCAGCATGGGTGCGGGAGTTGTTTTAGAAAACTGTTGGCAGTGGGGGTAAGTGATTCTCAGGCTGCATCACTCAGTGCCAGCAGACCACTCGGTGTCTGAGCACAGGCACCAGAGAAGGGGAAACTTCCTCTTCATTGTGCCTGACACTGGGGATGGATTCATAATGTTGTCTATTTAGGAGCTGAGGTAAGAAAGGTACTTCTTCCTTCCTTCCTTCCTTCCTTCCTTCCTTCCTTCCTTCCTTCCTTCCTTCCTTCCTCCCTCCCTCCCTCCCTCCCTTTCTTCCTTCCTTCCTTTCTTTCTCTATTTATTTATTGAGACAAAATGTCACTGTGTAGCCCTAGTTGGCCTCAAACTCAGGAGATCCCTCTGACTCTAGAGTACTCGGCTTCTTATTTCGTATGTCCTTAAATTATAGTCTAAGAACTCTCCGGCTTGCAGACATAGTATTCTAATTTCTTGTTTAAGATAGGGTCTGATGTGACCCAGGCTACCATCTAATTTGCTATGTAGCTGAGGCTGGCCTCCAAGCCCTGATTCTTCTACATTCCAGATGCTGAGATTACAGGCCTATCACCACCCTCAGCTCTCACCACACCACTACCACCGCTACTTCTTTCTAATAGTTGTTGTTACTCCCTCTCCTCGCCGGCCCCCAACCCCCCGGCCCCCCAAAGCTGGCCTCTAACTGAAGGTAAATCTCTGCCCCCTGAATGCTGGGATGCCAGCTGTGTGCCCCGACTCCCAGCCATAACAGGGTATTGAATGAGACATGTTTCCCCAGGGAGCTGGAGTTTGGTTTCTAGAGTGCATGGGACTCATTTCCTACTGGGAATGGAACCCAGTGCCCGAACTGGAAGTGAATGGTAGTGAGGTGAACTGTGGCCATGGATACTTGAGAGACCATACTCTGGGGCCAGCAGGAAGTTGGATGGCTTTGTGGTCAGGGGAGTACTGAGTGGAGTGAGCTAAACAGATCTCTACGACTCTCACAGCAGTGACTGTGGTCCTGAGTCCGTCCTGTGGTGGGTGAGAAAAGTGCCTCAGCGCTTACATGAAAGGACGTCTTTTTAAATGTTGCCCCAGGAACTTTCTTCCTTGAAGATCCATCAGGATGAGCTGCAAGTCCCTACCTACACTCCAGGAGCTGGCAGAGGATAGCTTCCTGAGGGACCCGGTCTTGGCTATCTCTGATCTGGATCGTGTGCCCTCATGTTTCTTCCCATCACTGTTCAAAAAGGCCTGCATAAGGAGATGCATTAGCATCATGATGGCAATGGTGAGGGTCTGGCCCTTCCCCTGCCTCCCACTGGGAGCCATGATCATGAGGAACAGAGCCTACAAGGAAATCTTAGAGATTATCCTGTTTGAGCTTGATGACCTGCTTTTCCAGAAGGTTTTTCACAGGTGAGTGAGACCCAAAGAAAGAAGGCCTTGGGAAATAAACAAGCATGGGGGAGAGCGGGTAGACACTGGATGGGCAGACGCTTTTGGACGTACAGCTTGGAGCGCTACAGAGGCTTTGGCCATCGCTGAGCCATCTGGGACAGGGCTGTGGCAGATGCAGGACTCATGAATTGGCAATGGCTGAAAGACTCTGTCCCTGCTTCCCAGTTACTAGAAGTGGGACTGGGCTGGATTCAAGGAGAAGGGCATGGGGATAGGACAGTGGTTACTGCCTTTATGCCGAGACTCTTCCCGGTTTTACCCACAGCAGGTGCAGACTGAAAGTGCTGGATTTACGGTTTATGCCTTTGAAGATATGGGACAAGTGGTCTGTGTTCATGACTAGTGACTGGAGTGAGAATCCAGCAGGGGTGGATCACTCGGGAACGGAGGTGAAGCCGCTGGTGAAGGTGGTGATAGACCTGGTCCTCAAGAGTGACGCAGTAGACACCATAGAGTCCTTCGTTGTTAAGTGGGTGGGTCGGAGGAAAGGTCTGATGAGTCTGTGCTGTGGCCACCTACAGATCTGGTCTATGTCTGCTAAGTACCACAGAGAAGTCTTGGAGATATTGGATCTGGACTCTATCCAGAAACTGAGTTTGTACGACATGAATAATACTACCTGCCTGTTTAGCTTCTCCCCTTACCTGGGCCGCATGAGGCACCTGCGCAGTCTTCTTCTCTGCCACCTCGGGGGGTCCGGCTTCTTCTTTCTCACCCCAGTGGAGAAACAACGGATCATCACCCAGTTCACCTCTCAGTTTGTCAACCTGACGCACCTCCGGAGCCTGCATCTGCATAATGTTTTCTTCCTACAGGGTCACCTGGACGAGCTATTCTGGTAAGGAGGGGTGGTCAGGTTTCTCATCAGAATAAAGCAAAGCCTTGTTCCTTTAGACGTTAGTGGCTGGCCGGCCACCCTGCTGTCTGCACCCACTGGCAGATTAACATTGCCAAACCATTAGAATATCGGGGCATTGTTTTGCATCTGCTGTCCTGGAGAGGGGCCTCACATAACCACTAATACAGAGGAGTAGGGCCAAGCTGGGGTTGGTTTCAAAAGGGAAACTTCCTCAGAAATGAGGAGGCTGGGAAGCCTCCTCAGAAAGGAGATCTAGTACGAATGGGTTCTGATGTAAAGGAAAAAGAGGACATTGTTAGAGGGGAGGACCATGCTGGCAGAAGCACAGCTCTGCTCGACTTGCCTCCAGTTCCCCATCAAGGACAGGCTGGTTTTTGAGATGTCATCGTGTGTAGTCCAGATTGGGAATAAAATTGGCGTGTCCTCCTCCTCTTGTCTCAGCTCCCTGGTAGTATCACAGGTGTGTACCACCATATCCAGCTTCGTTTTGACTTCAGAGAGGGTGAGTAGGTGGGAAATGGGATGTCAGAGTTGAGAGTCAGGGTCAGGGTGAAGCATTGTGAACAGGAACAGGTTGTGATGAGACAGGTCAGTGAACCTGTCACACATGTAGCCAGCTCTTGCCTACATTGGTCTTTGCTGTGTGTGTGGAAAGGAATTGCCGTCTTGGATTGAGCTGATCCAGCAGCGATGGTGACAGATAGGCCTCAGTACAGATTTGAGTGAGCAGACTCTCATCTTGGAGCAGAGTGGCTACTGACTTTCATCATGTGATTAGAAAGATCTTGGACCACCTGCATATTCCCAGAACTGTCTTCTTGTTTTCTTTTAGGTGGCTAAAGTCACCCTTAGAGACGCTGTTGGTGACTAAGTGTTTTCTCTCAAAATCAGACTGGACCCATATGTGTGAGTTCCTGTGTGCCAGTCAGCTAAAACACCTGATTTTGAAATGGACCATACTGACTAATTTCAGCCCAGAGCCCCTGCGAGTTCTGTTACTCAAAACTGCATCTACTTTGATTACCCTGGACTTGGAGGACTGTCAGCTGATGGACTCCCAACTCAAAGCCATCCTGCCTGTCCTGAGAAACTGTACCCAGCTCACCCGGCTTAACTTCTATGGAAACGATCTGTTTTCGTGTGATCTTGAGGGAGTTGACATCACGAGATCAGGCTGAGGTACCAAGGATCACAGATATTCCTTATCCTGAGCTGTGATGATCACAGTGACCAAGAACCTTGAGATGCCTATTCAGCCTTGTGTTTAGAGATGTGGGGAGAACTGTTGGGCAGCCTGAGCATGCCTTTGTTTTATGCCTCCTGCTTTGAAGGGTGTGAGTCGTGATGTGCGTATGTGTTGGGGCTTGTTGGATGCGTATTTAATGAGATGCAAATATCAGGCTCTTCTGTGGACACTGGGAGGCAAAAGGCAACACACAGGTGTTCGGTGAGAGGACACACAACACATGGTTTTACACAGGGACCATCAGTCCCAGCAGGATGATTAACCTGGTTTCCCCTTCAGATCTAATAAGGTCCTGTGACTTTCGGTTGTCCTGACTCTACCTTCTTCGACCTGAGTCTAGGCTTGTACAGTCAGACTTGCTTCTCTGTCTTTTAACTGATCCTGGGGCTTGTTCTGTCCCTCAGTCAACAACAGTAGCGTTGTTTCAATTCTCAGGTCCCAGCAAGAGAACCAACTAAACCCGCCTGGATTAAGTAAAGGTGTGTGTTCATGTGCAGGACTGCCTTCTTTTAATTCAGTGGTGGGAATTGAACTTGGCCTCACATGCTGTGAGGAAGAGCTCTACCACTGAGCTGTGTTCCTGTGCCCTGATTCCTAGTGTGCTGGGTGCTTCGTCAGTTCCTTACAGTCTCTGCCTCCTGACTGTCGGGGAGTACAAGTGTAAATGTCACATCTGGTTTGATGCTTTTTAGGGGATGGAGCCCATAGCCGTTTATTTACCTAGTGTGTGTGTGTGTGTGTGTGTGTGTGTGTGTGTGTGTGTGTGTGTTGGGGGTGGGTGGGTCAGGACCACTTGTAGCAGTTGGTTCTCTTGCTGGGACCTGAGAATTGAACTGGGTTGGCAGTCTACCTACTGAGCCAACTCTCTGGCCCAAACCCATAGCTTCTTGCTTGCCAGGCAAGTATTCTACATTCTACCCACTGAGCTTCTGCATCAACAGCCTGCCTCTTTAATTGTTTGCTTTTGGTTTTTGAGACTGTCTCTTTTGGCAGTCCTGTAACTTGGTATTTACCCAGGCTGGACTCAATTCACAGACAACCACCCTGGTCTGCCCCTGCCTCTCAGTGCTGGGATTAAAGCCTGCTCCAGCAAGCCTGACATCTCCAGTCTGTTCACTCTTTCTAAGTGACACTGCAGCCTACATAGCATTCTCTGAAGTGATTGTGTGATTAAATTTGCAGAAAATTGTCGGATTGTTAGTGGCTCTGACTAGCCCATGAAATCATAGTACGTAGTGGATTATAGACAACAAAATTGATGTAGTATGTGGATTTATTGGTATTCAATAAATTCTGATGTTTTCTAAAGACTATGACTGTTTCTTTTTTTGGTTTTTTTGAGACAGGATTTCTCTGTAGCTTTGGAGCCTGTCCTGGAACTCGCTCTATAGCCCAGGCTGGCCTCAAACTCAGAGATCTGCTGCCTCTGCCTCCTGAGTGCTGGGATTAAAGGTGTGCACCACCCCTGCCCAGCACTGTTTCTAAGAAGTATGCTCACTGCCGAAGCATGTATGAGTGTTTTACCTGCTTGTCTGTATGTGTGCCATGTGCATGCAGTGCCCGGGAAGCCAGAAGAGGGTGTCATTCCCTGGAACTGGAGTTACATGTGGTTGTGAGCCCCGTGTGGGTACTGGGAATCAAACCCAGATCCTCTGCAAGGACATAAGTACTCTTAACCACCTAGCCATCTTGTGGTTGTTAGCCAGGCACAGTGGTGAACTCTTTCCAACTACTTGAGGCTATAGCAACCTTTCATTGAGAGCAAGTCTAGATTCTGAACTTACCCTGTATTTCAGGCAGGCCTCGAATTGGTAATCTTCCTACCTCAGCTTCCTTCCTTCCTAGATCACAGCCTGTATCTCTAGGTCCTGCTCTCAACGTTCACTTGTGTTAGAAATGGTGTTCTTGTAGGTTCAAGGGCAATAGACTCTGGGACTCAATGTTGCCTGGGAAGCATCCCTATGGGGCTAAATCTGAAAGGGTTCCAGGTCGTGGCCACCATTCTGCTCAGGATATATTCCTCACCTTGCTTCCTTCCAACACGCCAAATTGCCACAGACGGGCCTCTCAAGAGCTTTCAAGGCTTGGACACAATCCACTTCCCATGATGCTGTCTGCCCATGGGCCCTATGATTTCACCCTCTGAAGGACCTCTACTGAGTTGATCCCATCTGGCACAGTGAGCTCCAGCAATTCTGCCTCGGTCTCCTGTATGGCCACTACAGGCTTCTGACAGTTTTTTTTGGCTAAGGTGTTTGTTTTCTTTTTCTTAAGTCAGAGTCTCTCTACATAGCCCTGGCTGTCCTGGAACTCTATATGTAAGCATGCTGGCCTGGAACTCAGAGATCTGCCTGCCTCTGCCTCCCAAGTGCTGGGATTAAAAAGCTTTTAACTCCAGAATACAGTTGCAATTTTAGCATGGACAGAGGTCCCTCTCTGGAAGGAATACTTTCAGACTTTGCTTTTTCTGACTGTATAACGAACAGATTAAACCTTTTGGGTAGCATATTCAAAACTGTAACATCACTTATTAATAAAACTCACTGTAAAGTGAGTCCATAAATTGGCCTTTCAAGTCTCAGTTTATCCTCTTTCTTGCATGGATATACATTTTGTTTTGTTTTTTAAGACAGAGTTTCTCTGTGTAGCTTTTAGAGCCTATCCTGGAACTCGCTCTGGAGACCAGGCTGGCCTTGAACTCACAGAGATCCACTTGCCTCTGCCTCCCAAGTGCTGGGATTAAAGTCGTGCACCACTACCGCCCTGGCTGCATGGATATACAATTAAGTCACTATCTAAATAGGATGAACTGGAGGGAGACTCAGATGTCCAACCAGATGGCATCTTATGTTTAGGAGGTGGGGCAGCAAGGGGGAGATGTGAGCGGAGAGGTGAACGGAAGCTCAAAGGAGCCAGAGAAGACACCTGGAGCGCTGGAGTCCCCTCCTGTCCTGCTGGGATCCAGAACCCTGCCACCGTGTTCCATCTGGTAAGTCACTCACTTCCATCAGGACACTGTCTCACCCAGGCTAGCCACTCTCCACTGGTCATATGAGACCCAAGATGGCATAAGGAATTCGGATTTCCTTCTGATCAGTAGATCGTAGACATTGCTTTTTGCCTGTAAATACAGCTTGCTTTCGTCTCAAATATCTTCGTTGTATTTTGTTTGTTTTATTTCTTGAGGCAGGGTCTTGCCTATGACATGTTGTTCATACTAACCTGGAACTGGCTGTGTAGCTCAGCCTGTCTGGAATTTGCCATGTTCCTGCCTCTTTCTTGTGAGTGTTAGAATTAAAAATGTGAGTAGCATGGTGGTGCATGCATTTGATCCCAGAGGCAGGCGGATCTCTGAGTTCAAGGTCAGCCTGGTGAATTCCAGGATAGCAGATGTAGAGAGACCCTGTGTTGAATTAAAAAAAGGGGGGGAGGGGTAATATGCCAGCACGTCTTGGTTCATATCAAATGATCAATTGTTTATGTTTTGAGTGGCAGCTCTCCTCCTGGCTTGAAACAGATGAGCTTATCAGTGTTAACCGATCAAAGATCTGGAATTGTGCTTTGGTTTATGTCCCATGGTATTTTTTGGTTTTACGAGGGTCTCTCTGTCAGTAGTTATCAACTTAGGAGTCTCGACCTCTTTGGCAACCCTCTCATCTCCCAAATTTTTACATTACAATTCATAACAGTAGTAAGATGGCAGTTATGAAGTAGTGTAGCAATGAAAATAACTTCATGGTTGGGGGTGACCACAACATGAACTGTATTAAAGGTTCACAGCTTTAGGAAGGTTGAGAACCACTGCTCTGTGTAGTCCTGGACCTCACTCTGTAGCCCAGGCTGGCCTCCAGCTCACAGAGATCCACTTGCCTCTGCCTCCTGAGTGCTGGGAGTAAAGGCCAGCCCCAGGCATTTTGCGGTTTATTTCCTTGTTTTAATACCAGACAAACAGGACGGACAGGAATTCACTGTGTAGCCCAACCTGGCCTCAAAGCTTGCTGCACTCTACCTGTTCCCTTCTGTGTTGGTACTAAAAGCCCAAGAGACTAAGGGAGTTTTAGTTAATAAGACCCTTGGCTGACCTGGAACTCTCTATGAAGACCAGGCTGGCCTCCAGCTTCACCTGCCTCTGTGCCTCCTGGCTACTGGGATTAAAGGCGTGCCCCACCAAGCCCAGCTTGAGGAATTTTTTGTTTGTTTGTTTGTTTGTTTGTTTTTGTAGCTTATTGTTTTTGTTTCTCTATGTAGCTTTGGAGCCTGTCCTGGAACTCACTTTGTAGACCAGGCTAGCCTCAACTCACAGAGATCCGCCTGCTTCTGCCTCCCAAGTGCTGGCTCAGCTTGAGGAGTTTTAGTTAAACTTATTTTGGGGTCAGGCTGGAGAGATGGCTCAGCTGTTTTCTTAGTTTACTGACTATTTAGTTTGCTGTGGTTGTTGCTGTTTTTACATTTCAGACTGTCTCTTTGTCTGGTTAACATGAGTTTACAGTTTTCCTGCCTAATTCAAAAATGCTAGTTCAGGTGAGGACCACCACACCAGGCTTGAAAGTGTTTGAAGACAACATATAATGCTGCCTCAAATTCCCTCGGTTGTTCCAGCCAGGGTCAGTAGGGTGAATGGTCACCGTGGGAAGGTTTGGTACAGGGTGTTTCTTGACTTCCTTTGAAGGTATGCTAGAGTTAAAAACATGCTCAAGAAAGCTCAGCACAGTCTATTCACCATCAAAGGACAGGCCTCAGCCTTCAGACTCACAGATAACCCCTTCTTAGAGAGGATGGATTCAGAGGAACAGTGGTTGAGATTAGATGCAGTAGTGGGGAATGTGGGTACTGTGAAAGGATGGATCCCCATGCTGTCATTAAGAAGAGTTTGTCCTTGAGACAAAGAGGTGCCGAGTGGAATGGGGTAAACTGAGGTCTTCTTCATTGCTATAGCAGTGACCCTTGGTCTGACCAAAAAAAAAGCATATTTTTTTTTTTCCTGGAAACTTCTGCAGAATACTTTCTGAAGAGCCATCAGGATGAACTTCCAGGACCCACCAATACTCCAGCACTTGGCAGTCCAGGGCCTGCTGAAGGACGAGGTCTTGGCCATCTCTGTTCTGCGGCACCTGCCTAGGCTGCTGTTTCTACCACTGTTCAAGGAAGCCTTCACTGACAGATTCCTGAAGACCCTGAAGGCAATGGTGGCAGCCTGGCCCTACCCCTGGCTCCCTGTGGGATCGCCGATGAAGACCCCCGATTTGGAGATCTTGAAGGCTGTGCTAGATGGCCTGGATATGCTGCTCACACAGGTTTGGCCCAGGTGAGTAAGACCCAGGTAGTGAGAAAGAGGGACTCTGGCAGTACAAGGAAGAGATAGCCGGGTCAGGAACAATAGAGTAGAGTTGGACCACATACCTATTGGCACTGTTTTGGTGAACTGTAGAGGTGCTGGCTATTGCTGAGCTCCTGGTAAGGGACTCTGGTATCGATATAAGGGACAGCTTAGAACAGACGCAGCCTAAGTGAAAAGAACCTATCCATGCCTCCTCCCACACTGAAACCAGAAGTGGGACCAGACTGGGCTCAAGGGCAATAGAGGGAATACAATAGAGGGTTAGAAGGCCCATGAATGACAGCCTTCACGTGCCCCCGCCGCACACAAAGAGAACATCTGACTTTGAGACGTAGACCAAAACCAGGCCTGAGAACCATGTTGGCCTGTCTTCTGAAACTGACCTCTGTTGTAACCACAGGAGGTGTAAGCTAAAAGTGATGGGTTTTCATGCACCATAGCTTTTGGAATGAATGAATGGGCTGGAGCTGAAGATCTTGGCTGCTCACCACAGTTCGTAAGGAAAGAGCAAAAACTGGAGGATATTCCAAGACCAGAGGTGAGGCAGCCCTTGAAGATAATAGTAGACCTTTGCCTCAAGTTGCACAAACTTGATGGATATCATACCCATTTATTGCAGTGGGCCAAGCCAAGGAAGAGTTCCCTGCAGCTCTGCTGCAGGAGGTTGCAGATTGGGGTATTGCCTGTCTATACTGTCACAGAGATAGATCCTGAAAGTATTTGAGCCAGACTGTATCTAGGAGCTGGAGCTGAATTCATGGTGGCAGCTGGGAACCCTGGCATGGTTTGCACCTTACCTGGGCCAGATGAGAAATCTTTGAAAATTCCTTATCGCAGGAGTCTATGAGAATACAAACTGTATCGAAAGGACTGTTCCAGTGATGAAGTATTTCAACAAGTTTATTTCTCAGTTCTCCAAACTCAATTGTCTCCAGCATCTCTACATGAATCGGGTCTGCTTTCTCACTGGTCAGATGAAGCATTTGGTCTGGTAAGGAAGGATGGGGAGCTATTTCTGCTGCCACAGCAAACCATTCTCTTTTACATTGGAGATTAGTGGGTGTATGATGTTGGCCAGCTACTGTGGATTTAACAGTGAGGGAGGTACCAGCATGTTCACTCACGGTCTTGTTTCCATTCTCCCGGAATCAAGGTCTCAGATGACCACTCGGGATGCAGAGGGCTGAACTGAGGTAGAAGATGCGTACAGAGCTACCGTGCTAGATGGCCAGGTGGGTAGGCCAGAGCTAGAAGGGTGGGTTGTGATTCCCTCCATAGCAAGTGTGTCTGAGCTAAGGGGATGAGGACTGATAAGAAAATAGAGCATAGAAAGAAGCTAATACTCACACCTACAGTTTCCAGGCCAGCAGCTGTGTCTGCCTCTAGTTCCCCATGTGTGAAAAGCTGTTTTGAACCCAGATGAGAACTGAACAGGTGGAAGATGAGCACCACTGGAGTTGAGGGTGAGGGACAGAGAGCAAGTACTGTGAACAGGAACAGTGTTGTTCTTAGGATGTAGGGAGTCAGTCCCATAGTTGGTATACCATGATTGGTCCTGGCTGGGTTGGTCCATCATGTGTGTCCTTTTGGCATGATGTGAACAGCACTATGGCTTTCTGCATATTAAAGGGAGTTGTAAAGAGATGGGCTGTACCAGTCTCACAGTGATAGCCAGACCCCTCAGCCTAGAGGGGTCACTGGAGTCTGCTAGCTCCCATAGGCAGTATCCTTGGTAATGACCTCCAATGTATAGTCAGACTGACCTTGGATCAAGGGGTTCCCTCTACTCAAGATAAACATTGCCAAGAACATGTTTCTATACCATTTGCCATAACTAACCTCTTGGTCTCTCCCTAGGTGCCTGAAGAGCCCCTTGGAGACCCTGTGCATCACTCTCTGCCGGTTCACACCGTCATACACAAACCACTTATCCCAAAGTCAGAGCCTCTGGCAGCTCAATCACCTGAACCTGAGTGGTACTTCATTATATAATTTATGTCTTAAGCCCACCCGAGTTCTCCTAGAGAGTGTTATAGCCACTCTGCAGACCCTTGAATTACCAAACTGTGGACTAGAGGACTCCCACTTCAGTGCCCTTCTGCCTGTCCTGAGCCGGTGCTCCCAGCTCACCAAGGTCAGTTTCTATGACAATGACATGTCTGCTCATCCTTAAGGACCTTCTGCACCACACAGCCAACCTGAGCCAGCTGACCCACGAGCTGTACCCTGCCCCTTTAGAATGCTATGATATGGTCAGCTCGCTCAAGTTTGTTCTCCACTCATGAAAACACTTAAGGGCCATAAGGCAGCCCAAGAAGGTCAACTTTGCTACTAATGTCTGCCCTAAATGTGATAAGCGCTGTGTCTATAACCTGGACACCTGACTATGTCCCTGTTGGCAGTCTGATTGAAAAAAGTTACTCCTGAGCACAGAGAAATGAAATCCAGGGGTTGGTTATGTTATCAAGGGGGCACAGAAACGTAGGCTTCAGGCACTGTTTAATTTCTTTGAAAGAAAAATAAAATGGAATTTTTATTAAAAATAGTCATGTTATAAGTGAGACATGGTGACACTCACCTTGAATCCCAGTACCTGGGAGGCAGAAGCAGGTGGATCTCTGTGAGTTCCAGGGCAGCCAAGGCTATATATTGAGAAAAAAAGAAGGAAAGAGAAAAAGAGGTCATGTTGACACAGAGAACAATGGTCCTAAGGACATTGTTTTTAAGACAGCCACCATGCTGTTTGACCAATTAGACTGAAAGCCAAGAACCCTTAGCATCAAAGTATACAATCAGTCTGTCATATCGTTCTTGTCCTGTTCAGTGCATCATGTACAGACTTGCAGACTGGGAGCAAGGCAGACTTACTGTCCAATGGACCATAATGGAGGAGCAGGAGGAGCTGGCAGTCCAGTATACCTAGGCTGTGAGGGACCATCCATTGTGACGGTAAAGCTTGCTAACTTGCTAAGACCTAGAATCATCAGGAGTCAGATTTCAGTTTGTACTGTGAGGCTGTTTCCGAAGAAATGTAGCTGAGGAGGAAAGACTCACCCTAGTGTGAGTAGCACCATCCTGTAAGTTGTGGTCCTGGAGTCAATTAAAAACAGAAAAGTGAGTAGAACACTCACATTCATATCTCTCTGTTTCCTGACTGGACACTATCCAGCTGCCCCAGACTCTTGATACTATGCCTTTCCATGAACTGTATTCTCTCTAACTGGAACCCAAATAAACTCACACATCCAAGAGGTCTGGGGGAAAAGATAAACTGGAAGGCAGATGTTAAGATCTACTTGTAGTGGGAAGTTTCTCCAGTCCTGCCTGGCCCCGCGGTTGGGATGAGTCTCTCCCACCCGAGTTCTGCGGCTCCTTGGTCCCAAGTAAGCACACAGAGGCTTATATTATTTACAGAGTGTATGGCCTGTGGGTCAGGCTTCTTGTTAGCTAGCTCTTATAACTTAACCCATTTCCATTAATCTACAAATTGCCACGTAGCCGTGACGTTACCAATCTGCTGGCATCTCCTCACCTCTACCCTTCTCTCACTAGCCCTTGGATTTTCTGCCTGGCTGTAAGCTTTCTTACCATAGGCCAAAAAGCTTTATTTACTAACCAGTGGGAATAGCATATATTCACAGCCTGCAGAAAGACATCCCACTTTTCCAGCACTTCCCCTTTTCTGCCTAGTCAAAAAGGTTTTAACTTTAACATAGTAAAATTACATATAAAAAACAGTTATCAAGCAAGAATTAAAGTTATAATATCTAGTCTATTAGTATTTAGCAAAATTAAAGAAAATATTTTATCTATCCTATTTTTGTAAGTCTAAAGTTTTATATCTAATTTATCTTTTATCATAATTAAGGAAAACTATAATGACAGTTATCTAGTCTTCAACTCCATCAAAGACCCCAGAAGGATATAATGTTATCTAAGTAAACAGGAAATACATTGTAAGAAACTTCCAAAGTTCTAGAAATGACAGAGACATTTGGCTGCCTGGACAGTCACCCAAGATCCTCTGCAACATTGGTGGCATCCACCTTCAGCCTACAGGCCTAGAGTCTCTGGCAGACTTTTTAGTGAAGCGGGAAATTTGAAGGATTGTCTCGCCTGTTGGCAAAGTTCATCGGTCTGCAGAGGAGACTGCAGAATGTCTGGCAGTCTCCTTTGTGAGGCAAGAACCTGAAGAACCATCTCGTCCTATTTAGGCAAGTTTAGTGGTCACCTTCTTGTGGGTTCTGCATGTCCAGTTTATACAACATACTGTCAATCAGTCCAGGCAAGAACACTTTCTTACCCAAATGGCTAGTTCTGCCAAGAAGAAGATAAACTCCATGTGGAGTTTCTTCAATGACGATCTTCCTCTTTGAATTAGATCAGTGCTACCAGGAGCAGACTTGTCTCACTGTCCAGAAAAGTCTAAGTTTTAAAAACATTTTAAATGCCATATTCTGTAAGTCTTTAAAGTGTTTGAAGATTACCTATCTAATTGAAATATACCTAAAAAATAGATTCAATAACCTACCTTTTTGGGCTGGAGAGATGACTCAGAGGTTAAGAGCACTGACTGTTCTTCCAGAGGTTCTGAGTTCAATTCCCAGCAACCACATGATGGCTCACAACCATCTATAACACAATCTGGTGCCCTCTTTTGGTGTGCAGACATACATATAAACAGAACACTGTATACATAATAAATAAATAAATCTTTAAAAAATAATAATAAACTACCCTTTTATCCTATCGTATCTATATATCTACTGCTTCTACCCCTTGTATGGGATCGCAGGCATGTCCCACCATGCCTAGACCATAAGACACATTTCTGTGGGGCTATATTGCTCACAACCTCTAGCTGGCCATCTGTACACAAAGGCCTCTAAATAGATGGGCAGATTTCCCCCATGGCCTTCCTGAATTATTGGCTGGATCTCTGAATTCAAGCTATCACCTATTCCGTTGAGATTCTGTCTTAGAGAATCCTTCCATCTGGCCATCACACTGATCTGTGATCTTATAATTTTTGTCCCACTGAGACAATAAAAGAACTATGGATGTGAGCACCATACAAATGTTGCTTTTGTGGGAAGGGTCTGGGAGGGGTGCACTGTCCGGGTCTCTATGAAACTCTGGATGGCCTAGCACTCAAGACCCTTCTACCTCAGCTTCTTCAGTTCTGGAATTACACATGTATCACTAGGCTCAGTCCTGAATGGTTTTGTGCCTTGCCTTTTTGTGATAAATGCTCAAACCCAGATTGGCCTCCAATTCTATGTAGCTAAGCTTGTCATGGACTCCTAATTCTTCAACTTCCGGCTCCCCAAATCCTGCAATTACAGGTTGTTCAAACAAGGCCTGGGCAGATGTTTCCTCTTTCCCAACCACTATCAACAGTCATCCTAAGGATGGAAAACCAAGAACAATCAGGGGCCTTGAGAAGGAGATAAAGCCCCTCAGTCTGCAGTGTTACTGGGGATCTGAAACTTACCACAATAGATACAGAGACAGCACTTGTCTTCTTTAAGACCTACAAGAAGTTGTCTAAAGTGACATCTTGGGCCAGTGAGATGGCTCAGATGATAAAGGCACATACTGATCAGCCTGGTGACCTGGAACTTACAAGAACAGACCCTGGCAAGTTATCCTATGACCTCCACACCTGTTGTATTGATTGTGCTTGTCGGTGGTGTGCACTGATGTTTAATGTGACACGGGCAGTCTCTGTCTGTTCTGGACTGTGGAGAAAGTTCTCCATCCTTCCTCACCTGAGCACCTGCTCCAGATGGGCCTTGAGGAAATGCACCCCATTCATATAGAGATGTCAGAGAGCGATGAATTTGGGAATGTGATTGTGGCAATGCAACCCCTCTTCCAGGTCTGTACACATATATTCAATTAAGTTTATAGTCTCAATGATGCCCTAGAGAAAAAAAGCTTTTGAATCGTTATTATCTGGACTGTGTTAGAGGGGAAACTTGCCAGGGAATGCAGCTTTCACAATGTGTTCACTTGTAATTCCTGGATATAACCTGGCTCAAAAATGTTCAGGAGTGCCAAGACGCCGTGTGTTTTACATCCTTTTCTATTGCTGTGGAAGGACAGCAGGACCTGAATGGTAGATTTCCCTGTAACTAACTCCTGCCAGTTGTTTTCTGACGTCCTTTCAGGCTAAGGTTTAGGAGCCCTTCTCTCTCATCACAGGAACACACCAGAGTGAGAGTCCCTGCTGTGACAATGGAGGAGACCTCAGTTGGCCCCCATTCCACTCAGTCTCTGATGGTGTCAAAGCTGTGGTGCCCCCCCAGGCAGCGTGGTGGACCCACAATCCCTCCTGTGAATTTTACTTCACCATTATTCCACCCAATCCCAACCTCTGCCCCTCTAAATCCTGTTCTGTGGGGGTACAGGAGATGGAACGCCGAGCACCATGAAGGTGAACCCACTTCTGATCATCTCTCACCCCCCTCAAAGGAAGGCAGATGTCAGCCTATTGGTACTCTCTATTCAACTAATGGGACATGGCTGAGAATAGCTAAGGAGAGCTGTGAAATAAAATTGTGTGTGTGTGTGTGTATGCATGCACATGTAAGCATGCTCCCAAACATGCTCACAGCACATGGGTACAGGTGCCCACAGAGGCAAAAAGAGGGAGTAGGATCCTTTAGAGCTGGAATTGCACGTGGGCATGTGAGTGATGGGAACCAAACTCAGGTCACCTGGAAGAGAAGCACAAACAAGCTGTTAATTGCTGAGCCATCTCTCCAGCTCCTGGTGCCCACTTTTATTTTTAAAAGCTTTAGAACTTGCCGTGGTCTTGCTTAGCTATAATCCAGTATTTGAGAAAATGAGGCAGGAGGACTGTAAATTTGATGCCAGTCTGGGTACACAGCAAGACAGCCTTTAACCCAAACATAGGAATGTAACTCCAACTGAATGGCAGTTAAATGGTTTCACATTTAATTATTTTATGTGTGTGTGTATAATGTAACAAAGAAAGGCTTTTTAATTTTGCACAAAGGCAAAACAGTGTATGTGTTGGTATTTGCATGACCCAGCATGCATGTGAAGGTCAGAAGACAATTTGCAAGAGTTAGTTAAAAGGAAATCCTACCATTCCGATGCAGGGAATGGAATTCAGGTGGTCAGGCTTGGTGGGAGCTGTAAAGGCACAGATTGTTTCTAAACACTTCTCCAGATGCTGAAATGGACAGCCTTAGTTGGTGTTTTCTTTGAGCCAGGGTCCTACTAAGTAGCTCTAACTGGTCTTGAACTCTCTTTG